AGAAAAAGGGGAAAGAGGAGGGGGGAGGAGGGAGATGGAGGAAGAGAGAGAAGGAGGGACAGAGGGAAGGGGGAGAGAGATGGAAAAAGGAGAAGGGGGAGGGGAGGAGAGGGGAGGCAGGGCTCACATCCAGGACCTCCCGCCTCAGGGGCGGCTGCTCCACACAGGTCAGCAGCCTCAGCAGCAGGTCCATAATGGCAGACGTCCCGATGTGATGAAGTAACAAAGGCACAAAGTCGGCCTTGTTCCGCAGGAAGGACACTATCTGAGGAGAGAAGAAACTGGGTTGGCGGCCAGCCCCACCCCTTGGCGGACCCCTCCCGCTTCCTCTCGGACCCCCAGAACGAGTACGTCTGGTCCCCTGGTCACCGTCTGACGCGGGGGCGCTAGCCGGGCCTCCGGGGACTCACCTGGCCCGTCTTCCGGTTGATCAGGACCCCCATGACTTTGCTAAAGAAACTGGCCAGCAGGGGGTTCAGGGGGCCTGTGTTCTGCAGGAAGCCGTACAGGCGGCCCAGCAGGGCCTCATCCTCCCCGAGGGCGTCATTGATCTGGGGGACGTCGGAGGTCAGGATCTCACAGGACACGCTGGGGTACCTGGAGAGAAGGTGGCCGTCACACCGACGCCAGGCTTCCGCCTATACGCCTATACTTCCCCTTGAAATCAGGGGCCCATCCCAGGACAGCCCGCAGCCGTGTCTCTAGGTTTCCATTTCCCAATTTGTAAGACCAGGAAGCAAACACCTTTGACCTTCGACCTCCCATTCTTCAGGACACCTCCCTTACGGGGGGGGGGGGGGGGGGCAAGGCAAATACAGGAAACCAAAACAAGCACACTAACTGGTGACGCCTCCTTCCTCCCTCAGCATCGCAGGCTCCACAGTTACACTGCACAGGGGGAAGGCAGGAAAGGCAGCAGGGTGGGAGGTGAGGGAGGGTGAGCGGACAGGGCGGCCAGAGGAGCTAGCACAGAACCAGCATTTGAACCCGGGCCCTGCGCATTTAGGGCTAGGCCTTCTCCACCACTCGGGGACCAGAGCGGGACGGGGCAGGCGGGCCTCACTTGTACCGCAGCCGCTCGTCGCCGGCGGCTGGGGGCTCCTGCGTGACCCAGTCCACGAGGGCCTGCAGATGGGCCGGCCGCAGCAGGTAGTCCAGCAGCTTGGGGTGCGGCACCTTGCACTCCTGCAGCACGTCCTCCTCGTCCAGGAGCTGAGCCAAGACCAGGTCGTCCCTCTGCAGCAGCGTGTCGATGTGGGAGCTGGTGTGCAGGTCAAACTTCCAGAACATGGCACCCTGCGGAGGAGGGACCAGACAAGAGGCTGGGGCAGGCCGGGACTGCCGAGGGACTTCAGCCTAGGTGCCCCGTGCTGTGCCCACGTCAAGGGTGCGGGAGGGGAGGGGGCACCTGGCCTAAGCAACGCCTGGTCACGCAGGTTGTCTCAGAAGCCATGCCACCTGCCCGCCACCTCCCCCCGGAGTTTTCAACGTTTGCAGAGATCAAAGGGGGCCCCCAGAACAAGGCCGTGGTCCGGGGCTCGCTCTGGCCAACTGCCCTCATGCAAAGTCTCACGGGAGGGGACTGCAGAAAGGAAGCCAGAGGCCACCCTTGAGAGCCCGAGGCATGGCCCCCTGTGTGTGGGGGGGCCCCCAATCACACTGATGGCTTCCAGGGGGGCTGTGCCAGCACACAGATCAGCAAGAAGGGTCCTGGATCCTCTCAGCACCTTACCTCCAGCTGGGCAGTAATGCCCCCTACTCAGACGAGAAGCTCTACACTTACATTAAGAAATGCCCTGGGTTCGAGGCCTGATCTCAGCAAGCTGCCTCCCAGATCAGGAAAGGGAAAGCCCCCCAGGAGGCTACTAGCACCAAAGAAGCGTGAGAGCGACGACCACCACTGCCTCCTGCCCCGACCCCTGGCACAAGAGCTGCCCCAGGCCACTCGCCAAGACCCCCGAAATGGGGCCCCGGACCCCAGAAAAGGACAGAAAGAAGAAAGAACGTGTCCAATGACAACCGAGCTGCCCAGGCCGGGGGAGGACTCCCCAGCATCCTCCCACGACCCTCCCCCCAGCCCCTGGGGGGCGGGGCACGCAGACACGCCCCGCGCAGGTGCCGGGGGACCCTCCTGCACCCCCAGCCCCGGAGAATCGAGAAAGAATCGGTTCTGCACAGAAGACGCGGCTGGGGGGGGCCACGTTCAACGCCTCCCGGGAATGCCCTTCGCTGGCCGGGGGGAGGGGAAACCCCCTGCAAGCTTCGGGGGGGTGGAGCCGCCCCAGCCCCGCCCCCCCCAAAGGGAGGCCTCTGAGCCCCCCGGCCCCCCCCGCCTTCCCTCAGTCTCCCCCCTCCGCGCAAGGGGCGGGGCGGGGTCACTGACCTGGGCGCGCGGGCACCGGCGGCTCCGGCCTCGGGAACATAGGGGCGCGCGCAGCGGGAGGGGGCGGGGAAGTGGGCGCGCGCTCTCGGCCAGCGCAGGCGCCCTGAGCGGCCGCGCGGTGGGGGGAGGGGGCCCGCGCGGTGGGGGACCGGGAGGCAGCCCCGCGGCGGTCTGTCTCCCCCGCCCTCCTGCTCCTTTTCTTTCTCCCGTGGGCGTGGGACTTGAAAGCCGGTGCCCGGCCGGGGCTGCGGCGGCTGCTCCGCTCTCGTTCCTGCGTCCGCCTCGGCCGCCCCTGTGTCTGCGTCTGCAGCCTCTGCAGGCAAATCTCGAGCGCAGAGCTAAGAGACGGCAGCAAAATGGCTGGCGCGCAGGCGCGGCAGAGAAGCCGCAGAGAGGGCGGGAAGGGGCGGGAGCTGGCGCGCAGGCGCCCTGAAGCTAGGAGGGGGGAGGGGATCTCACGCAGCCGCTCTAGAAAAGCTCCGCGGGCCCGGGGATAGACACGCGCAGGCGCAAGGGGGGGGGGGAAACGGCTGCGGAGTTGCCGGAGCCCCCGCGCAGCATAAAAGAGAGCCTAAGAAGGACGCTCCTTCCCTCCCTTCCCCCGCTCCCGTGACCCCAGGAGGCTGCAAGCAGGCGGGTCGGGCCTTGTCCTCTTTCTTTGAGGCTTCGTGGCGTCTGTCCGGTCTCGGTCCTCGCGGCGCCTGCCTGCCTGCCGACCCACCCGCCCGTTTGCCGCAGCGAGTCTGCCCGC